CATGTGGCTATTGACATTCTGTGCCTAACTTTACTTAAGATAATGTTCTCCCTCCCCATCCATTTACTTGCAAATGACAAAATTTCATTCTTCTTTATGACTGAATAAAATTCTATTGTATATACATACCACATTGTCTTAAGTAGTGGAGAATCTTGGTTGTTTCCATAGCTTAGCCATTGTGAATAATGCTGCAATAAACACAGCTGTGCAGGTCCCTTTATTGTAACCTGACTTACATTCCTTTGGGAATATTCCTAGAAGTGGTATTGTTAGATCATATAGCAGTTCTATTTTTAGTTTTTTGTGAAGTCTCCATACTGTTTTCCATAGTGGTTTCAGTAATTTACATTCCTCCCAGCAGTGAATGAGGTGAGACATCTTTGCCAACAATTGTTGTTTGTGTTCTTGATGGTAGCCATTGTAACAACAGTGAGGCAGAATTTTAGTGTAGTTTTGATTTGAATTTCCTTTATGATCACAGCTGCTGAGCATTTTTTCATGTACTTTTTTGACATTTGAATTTCTTCCTTTGGAAAGGCTCTGTTGAGTTCTTGACCATTTCTTCACTGAGGCTTTGATTTCGGGGAGTTTAGTTTTGTGAACTCTAGGAATACTCTGGTTATTTATCCCTTGTCAAATACATAGCTGGCAAAGATTTCCTCCTATTCTGTGAGCCATTTCTTTGTTGTGCAGAGGCTTTGTTTTCATGTAGTACCAGTTGCCCATCCTTTCTCTTAGTTTTGAGCCATTTGGGTTCTCTTTAGTAAGTAATTTCCTATGCCTATGAAATCCAAATTATTCCCTGCTCTTTCTGCACTAGCTTCAAAGTTTTAAGTCTTGTTTTAAAGTCCTTAATGACTTTGAGTTGATATTGGTAAAGGGTTACAGACAAGGGTATAATTTCAGTTTTCTGCATTCAGACATCCAGTTTTCCCATCAGTGCTTGTTGAAGAGGCTGTCTTTTCTCCGGTGTCAAATATCAGGTGGGCATAGCTGCATAAATTCATATTTGGGTCTCTATCCTGGTCCATTAGTGTTCATATATGAAAAACATATTTAATTTCTGACAATGATACAATTTTGATCATCAACACTTTAAACTCTTCCTATGACCTACCACTGCATTTGCACTACTCACTTGACATTTCATAATTATAAACTACTATTGGTTCCAATTATATTTAAAGCATTCAATTCTTTTGGATTTTCTTATTACTCTCCTTTGTAAATGTAAGAGCTCACTCAAATTTTATCTGTCTTTTAACAACCATTCAATATGTATTGTCAACCCTTGACTTTGATGAACTAAAACTTCTGATAGCTATGATTTAGACACATGCATATAATTATGTGGCATCAGTGTCCTTGATGTGCCTTTAGGGTTCAGTGAACTGAAAAATGATAAAAACTAGTGAAATGATAACCAGTTTTAAATTTTATAAATAAATCTGTTTTTATGACATCCATGCATAGTACACAGGTTCATTTATGACTTCTGTAGAAAGCACCTTTGTTTCTTCTTGCTGTCTATGGTAGTTTGCAGAGTGGGAAGTACCTGTAATCCCTGGATAATTTATAATCAAGATTCAAAGTCAGCACAGCCAACATAGTAAGACTGTATCTCTCAAAACAAGAAAGGCAATGTGGTGTGCAACTTTAATTCCACCTGCTCAAGTGGGACAAATAAGAAGATTGCAATCTGAGGTTAGCCATGGAAAAAGCAAAAGAGATTTTTGGGAAAAAAAACTAAAGAAAAAGTGTTGGAGTGATGGTTCAAGAGGTAGGTCAATTGCCTAACAAATGTGTGGCACTCAGTTAAAAACTACAGTGCTACCAAAAATATGAAAGAATTGATCCAATAATCATCCCAACTACCTGCCAGTCTGTGGCTAAGTTTAGTCTTTTTCATTGGTTACCAATCAGAAGGAAGTTTAAAGCATAGGCACCTATGTCTTCGCCATGCGTCAAACACAGCATTTTAATTCCTGTTCTGTTTCCTGAGGAGGAGTGGGTCCTGTGAGATGAGTTACTGACTACAAGAATGCAGGAGGACATGGAGAGCTCCAAGGACATCCTGGAGTTGGGCAATGTGAGAAGTGTAAATCACAGTGAGAAATCTGTCTCATCTTGAAGTGATAGGGAAGTGAAATGACTAGTTAAGGGTGAAGAGGACAACATAAGATTTTCCTGCTCAGATATCCTGTATTGGGTAATGACACTTCAATTCACATGTGACTTTGGAGATTTCTTTCTCTAGTGGATTCCATTCTGTTTCATGTCATGTTTTTTTAAATCTGTATTCTACATATAAGAAAATATAAAGTAGTATTTGTCTTTCTTAGTCTGGCTTATTTCATTTAACATGCTGAATTCTTGTAGATGAAACAATTCCACTCTTTATTATGAATAATACTTAATTGTGTGTTAATACCATTCCTTTATCCACTAAACCATAAATGGACACCTACACTGACTTTGTAACCTTTACATTGTGAACAGTTTTGCATAATAATTGTTGCCTAGATATTCTATCATATGCTTCTGAAGACACATTTTGATTTCCTCTTACTTAAGCCATAAGTGAAGGAATAAATAACTGAGGCCAGCAAAGAATTTCTGAGAGATGGTGATAGAGCCATATGGAAGCAAACCCTAATGCTTTTACATAAAGTAGCAAAGCAACTGACAGATAAAACCCAAAGCTGAAGCAGGCTAAACACTTCTCTCCAGATGATTGGATTCTCAGAAGGAAAGAAATAATTTTGTAGTAACAGAAAAAGATTCATGAGATGGTAAAACACCATACATGTCTCAGAAAAAATAATTGAAGATGTCTGAAAAGGTAAAGAACAGGAATAATTGAGCAATTCAAAAGGGTTGCAGAAGAAATGGGAAACATTCATATTCTTAAAGTGGGAAAATTATAAGGCAAAAATTTATAATGTCAGGAGTCCAAAGTCTAACCAAAAATCACAACAGCACCAATAAACCACAAGGATGTATCTCTACACTTGCATTTATGTATGGAACACATAGAACAAAAAATGTTGTCAATGTTGCAAAAATAGAGTTACAAAACCAGAACAGCATGACATAGACGCTAACAACGAGCAGCTAATATTTTCTCTCAATCATTGAATCATTACTGGTAGGCATGGATGTGCCTACAGTTAGGCCCAAAGTTTTAGGAAGCAATATTGATTATGGCTAATTACTTTGAATCAATAACAGCATGCTCCATGTTTTTATGGTAACATGTTTAATGTTTACACTAATGACTCCTGTGTAGCAAGTGTGTATACAACCTGAAGAAACAGAAATAAGAGATAGTCAAGCATACCTGATATATGTATAAATGTCATAATTATAAAAATACACCACCCACATGTCTGTAATGGGGACATAGAGACTTCAGATCCCAATATATTTTATTGGAAATTTATGAAGTTTAACCTTATCATTAGTGCTAATAATGATATATAAATAATAGATTATGTCTTGTATTATGAATTCATCACTTGCTAACATCTTAAGGGAATATTATCACTCTAATGAAATCCCAAACCATTGCATCAACTAGAATCCAACTCATATAATAATGCTGAGTATCAGAGATACTAATGACCACCATATCTCACAGAAACAAGATATAGTAAAGGTGGAGGTGAAAAAATTAAGTTGTCAGTTTCCTGGTATGACTCACTATTTCATTGATTATTATCCATCTGGAAGGTAGAGCAAAGGTCCAGAATTCTAGATCACATTTTTGCTTTATGAATATTACCTTGTTCTTATTTCCTAAGGAATAATGAAAATAAATCCTGAATTCAAATATATTTTTAAGATTAAGAAGAGATGTTGCTAGATGGGAGGAGAATTGGACAGCTCCAAAGATATCCTGGAGTTTGGCAAGACAGAGGTCCATGGTGACCATTCCTTTGGTAAGCTGTGTTTCTGATCTAAGATATCATTCCTATATTTCAGGCAACAGGTGCCAACCAACTCTGTGATCTACTTAGAACCCCTACTTGGAAGAGGATAGTGAAATTTGATCACTCCCAAGAGAGACAGGGAAGCATAAATGGGACTTGGGTTTCAAGAGAACAAAATGCAGAAATTATTCATGCAAGGTTCCCTACATCTTAAATGAGATGGCCCAATTCAATCATATCTTTGCATTTTGGACTTACAATCTGTTGTTAATTACATAAATGTTTGTGGCCTATTTGTTTGGAAAAATAATGGTTACATTGAATTTTTACATGAAAAAATTTTGTGGGACACATACTTAAATCATGAGAGCTCTCACATGGGACTCACATTTTTGTTATCCTCATCATGATAAGCATAATTCCTTTGGAGGGTTTAGAAATAGTTTACAGACTAACATTTCTGCTGTTTTGGGATGTTAGCTATGAGAGGAAGAGCCAGTGTAGAGGGAAGCTGAGATTTAAATGGGAGTTTTGTCACTTCCATGAAAATCAATTACATAAAATTCCAAGCCTCACTGTCAAAACTCAATATTGGTATCTTCCCATGTTCCTAATCAACTTTCCTGTTGGTAATCATGATGATAAAACAATGATTTCAATAGACCTTCCTCCATCCATCCTCTCACACAGAACTTAATAGGTTAAGCTCTTTTTTTGCCATATAATGACCATGAAGCTTGGATCCAAAACCCTTCCTCTGCCTGAGATTCAGTGATATCTACAACCCCAGCACCAGAATTGATATGAACACTGCCAGATAGGAACTTTCTGATGCAGACAACAAAAGTGGTTGAAATGGGGTACATTGCCAACAGTACTGGAACCATTAAAACTGAAGTTGGGAAGCTGTGTCTTTGCTCCAGGACATTGGTGTACCTCTAATCCCCACATCCACCAGGATCAAAGCTCCTGCACTCAGGACTTGGTGGGGCCGTGCCCTGTCTACTTCTCCATCTGGTTAATCATTTTTTATAACATTCTCTAATAAACTGATAAAGTTTACATTCAAGGAAAGAGGAAATAATCCAGAAAAGGAAAACAAATCAAGATGTGTAGATCTGTGGCCGTCAGGTTGTGGTTTTTGACAGATCGTTGCATGAGGGAAGACTATCCCCAAAAAGAGATCTTACAAGCTTTGAAGGCCAAATGTTGTGAGGAGGAGCTGGACTTCAGGGCGGTAGTGATGGATGAGGTGGTATTGACAATTGAGCAAGGAAACCTGGGTCTACAGATCAATAGAGAACTAATCTCTGCTTACCCCCAGGTGGTGGTAGTGAGAGTTCCAACCCCTTGGGTGCAAAGAGATAGTGACAGCACTGTTTTGCACCATGTAGAGAAGATGGAATGCAGATTGATGAACCCACCTCAAGCCATCCTGAACTGTGTTAATAAATTCTGGACATTTCAAGAGTTAGCTGGCCATGGAGTTCCTCTACCAGATACTTTCTCTTATGGTGGCTATGATAATTTTGCTAAAATGATTGATGAAGCAGAAGTACTGGAGTTCCCAATGGTAGTGAAGAATACAAGGGGTCATAGAGGCAAAGCTGTCTTTTTGGCATGGGATAAGCACCATTTGGCTGATCTAAGCCATCTTATTCGTCATGAAGCTCCATACCTGTTCCAGAAGTATGTTAACGAGTCTCATGGGCAGGACATGCATGTCATTGTTGTGGGAGGCCATGTGGTTGGAACCATGTTACGTTGCTCAACAGACGGGAGGATGCAAAGCAACTGCTCATTAGGTGGTGTGGAGATGCTGTGCTCATTGAGTGAACAAGGGAAGCAGCTAGCCATCCAGGTGTCTAATATTCTGGGCATGGATGTGTGTGGCATTGACCTGTTGATGAAAGATGACGGCTCCTTCTGTGTCTGCGAGGCCAATGCAAATGTAGGTTTCATCACCTTTGATAAGGCTTGTAATCTAGATGTAGCTGGTATCATAGCGGACTATGCCGCCTCCCTTCTGCCCTCTGGCCAGCTCACCCGGCATATGTCCCTGCTCTCCATGGTGTCCACGGCCAGTGAAACTAGTGAGCCAGAGCTGGGTACCCCAGCCAACACTGCTGTTGACAACATGAGTGCACGTTCCAGCTCTGTCAACAGTGACACTGAAAGCATGGAGAGAGAGCTGTTCACCAAGCTCCCAGGAGGCCTGTTCAACATGAACCAGATGCTAGCCAATGAAATCAAACTCCTGGTGGAGTGACTCCACTGGTAAGTAATTAATCAACAAAACTCTTGTAAAACTTTCCTTTCTCTTCCCCCCACCCTTTCTTTTTTAACCAACTTGCAATGCTGTTCATGGAGGATGCTCAGGAGAAAGAGAAAAGTAGTAGGATTGGTTAGAAGAAGGGGGAAACACATGAGACATCTGCTAGTAAGATGTTACTGACTTTCACTTACAGATCCTACAGAAAGCCAGAAGAGGTGGGATTTAGAAATATGGCAGGCTTTTGTAGTTAATCTTTTAAATCACTAAGAAATGTTATGCTCTCAGGCCATGAGGAACATGACAGTTGTATTCATGGTCCCTTGCTTTTTTTATACAAAACTATTTTGGTTCAGATATCTGATAGCATAACTTTACATTGTGTTGTAAAATTTGTAAAGAGAGGAAAACATCTGCCTATATTACAGAAATTTTTTAATATACAAATCTGAAAATTCTGCCATTTCCCTGTTGGCTAGCAGCTAAAGCTAAAGCTCATAGTTTATTAAATCTCAAGGGGCTATTTTATTGGGATTTCTCATTTTTATGTTTTGTCTTTTTTTCCCTTAATTTGGGTGGGTGGGCAAAATGACTATAACTCAATAAAGGCTTTTTAATGACAGAATTGGCATGTTTGCATGATGGAAGGAAAATGAACAGTATTGCAATGTCTGGTATAGAAAATAACATTTACTTAATGTAGATAAAGTTACACTAGTTTAAAATATGTGCATTGACTTGTATTTGTTAGTGTTTTAGTCTTTTTTGAAAACTATGCTCTGTTTATGTTGCAACTTTTTTAATACATGCTAGTCTAACATTTCCTGCTCTATGCCTGCATCTTTAGTAGTGGCCAAAGTGAAGAAAGTGCTGCCCTTTTTGTCAACAAGACACTGACTTGAAACATGTATATTTAAAAGCTTTCTTTTTCTTTTTTTTTCTTTTGGTGGGTTGGACATTTAAAGAATAAAGACAAGGAAAACTTATTTAGAAGGCACATCAAAGTCATTTAAGTTCTTAAGTATAAAGCTGAAGTAGTTTTCTAAAGTCAGCATTATACATTTCATTTTTCACATTTTACAAGGGAGCATATATGTATGTGTGTGCACGCATACATGTGTATGTGTTTTGCTTTTTGTTTACACAACCAAACAAAAAGAATAGATTCTAGAGAATGGAGCATGATGGGAAACAGTTTTTTACTTTAAAACACAAGATGAGTTGTTTTCATGACTTAGATTCCACTGGGGTAGAGATAGTCACCTAAAGACATAAGGAATATAGTTGTTTTTTAGAACTTTTTGTGTGTGGGTGTTTGCTTTCTTTGTTTCTAGACTGTTTAGCATATGATTTATTCAAGGCTATGTGCTTTTCTTCAATGCTTATAGCTATGCATTTGCTCTTTTTACACATGGGATTTTGGGTAGGGTGAACTGGATGCTTTGTTTGGGGGTTTATTTAAGCATATTGAGTCTCATACAGCCCTACCTTTAAGCAAGCCTTCAATACTGATCACTCTTTATAGTCCTTTAGTTTTCAGAATTTATAAAAGCCCCCAAGCTGCATATAATATGAGCCTTTGAGACATGGGTAAAAGTATCCCAACAATGCGTTTGGAAGGTATGTTAAGAAATGGAGGTGCTACAGAACTCAGCATAATTTTTTAAGCAGCAAGTTCCATCTCCCTACAAATCCTCTGAAGCTTTTACTGAAGCCCATTCTTGCCTCTTCAGTGCTATATTCCTTCAGATGGACCTTAACATTATTTCTCGGACATTACTCGAGAGACGTCAAGGCAATAATAAAAGATCAGTATTAACCAGCTCTGACAGATTGGATAATGCTTAATTGTACAATTTTTGCCCCACTTTAAAAAGGAATGTAATAAAATTTGGTTTTTTTCATAAAAAAACAAAAAAAAAACTGAAGTTGGTAGGAGCAGTGCAATTACTTACTATATTGCTTCTGAAGTCTAAAGTCACAGAGCATATTGCTACACAAACAGGTCATTGTGACCCCAGTCTCAAAAGATATATGAATATTAATGGAAGAACAGACAATGAATGTCCACAGAAGATTTGAGGTTTTCATCTACTCTGGAGAAATCTTCATCTAGCCCATATCTTGAGATCATTGTCTTCTCTTTACATCATTGTGGTACAATTATCCAATTGGAATTCTGAGACATGTGTTAGATTTTGTGTTTCTAAATTGTACAACTGTTGATAAGGGAAATAGTTAAAATATTGAAACAAATATTTTTCCAAGACAGTGAATTTTTTAAATTTAAATAATGAGTGGACAGAATTCACACTTATTCAGACATATTTCTCAGATGTGAGAATCCAAATATTGAAATGTTTTGATCTTGGTTGCTTTGGTATTAATCTCATTCTCTGCATAACTGCATTAGGGACACAACGCTGATAGTAATTTAAAAGGAAACAAGTCCATAATCATAATATACTAAACACTGTATTTCAACATAGAGGATACCTAATCCATTTGAAATAAAATACCATTGCCTTTGAAAGAAATTAAGCATCAAACAAATATATCTCATTTGCATTTAAGAAAGTCATACAAAATTATTTATAACATTCTTAAACACTAAATCAGGTGCTACTTTATTATATGAATGTTAAAGTTGATAGCTTCTAATCAGAAAACTTGGTGGTGTGCTAATTAAATCCCATCAGTTTTCATCACTATTGGCTATTCTGATTTCCATCTTTTAACTATTTTATTCCTACTACAAACTTGATTGGAATTGAATTATTTTAAAAATAACACGTATCAGTGGCTTTGTAGAATTTCACTTTTTTATAAAGGTGATTAAGTTAAATGCTAATCACCACATATCACACAGATAACAAATGTGGCATGAGCACACTTGTAACTGTCATTGTTGTAAAGTAAAAAGTGTGATGCACATTTGAAATTGTCTATTTTATGTATGCTTATTTTTATCAATGCTACACATATTACCAAAATACCAGGAATGCAAGCTAGTTCTTTGTTGTTTTCTTCTTTATGTACTATAGAGCAACAAGACAATACACTTCATTATTTTCTGATCATAAACACTTCTTTTTCTGTTTGAAGACTAACATGAAGGAAATCCTAAAGCCTAGGTTTGAGTCCAACCTTCTTATTTCCAATTATCATATTTTCACAGCAATCCTTCCAGATCTATAAATGTCAGTTTTCTAACTCATGCTACATGAAGAGAACATGGCTCAGATGTTCTCAGGCCAAATATCATTTAATTGGAAAATAAAAGTCAGAAAATTATCTGAAGTGTTGCAAACAAACCTGTAAGGGGTATATTCCTTCATAAATTGAAAAATAGAAACATAATTGTTACTGTAGATAGTTATATAATAACAGGACTAAAATACCTTAAATAGAGTAACTAATGACTCTCAGGTTCTTTAATTTATATATTTGCATGTAAATACATTTTAATGTATCCAAATACTTGGTCCTCCAAACCGAACTGAACCAATTTTCTCAGAATGTTCACATTTAAAGTTTTGTACATTAAAGCTTTTTACATTTTATAACCTACAGGAGAAATATTTATTATTACAATCAATAATACTAAATAACTATGCAAATATTAACATTTCATAATATTTGTAAAAAAGAATAATATTTACAAAGGTCTTAAAAACTTCTTATGAAATATGATTTCTTTGTGCATCTAAAACACATAGCCCTAATGAGAAATTTTTTAGTGCTTTGGGAACTATCTAGTTTTCAAAATTGATTTATATATCATAAAGACATTCCCTACTTACCTAAAAAGTTAACCTAAATAGTATACAACAAAATACCTATTGCTCATGAAATGTAGTTGTTTACATCAGCAACTGGCAAAAGTCCCCATATGAAGTACAGTAAGTCTACTACAAGAGCTTCAACTGGCACATTACAATACCTGACAAAAGGGTATGTTCTATCTTGTAAATTTATTATTAAGACAAAACTTTGAAAATTCAGTACCCTCTGCATTTTCATTCAGTGAGAATTTCTAAATAATACATTGTTTGAGGGAGACTTCTCTGATTTCCAATAAATCTTGCAAATCCAATTTGACTATTAATCATAGTTTTCAAGTAAAAAGTGATACCTTGTAAGGTACACCTTATTATTCTTGTGATATACCATAAAAATACCCCCTCAGTATGTCTAGTTTGAAACTTATTTTGTATGATAAATAATTCAATTTGGTTCTGGTAGAGGTGACAGTGCCCTAGCAAGGCAAGTCAGTCAATGACTGCAATTTCAGCACTCCATCACTGTCCTGATACCATATATGTGTAAATTTCTCCACCCTTCTGTGCTCATACTGCCAATCTGTACAATGAATTGTGCATTTGAGGAGAATCTGACCTAAATTAATACTATTTTGTGACTATTTTATAAAAAATTGCATCCTTGTGGAAATAATGAATTTATTGGTAAATACAGTTGTAAAACAGCACTGCAGTCTAGAATAATGTGAAGCTGGATAATCTCTCTCAGCCCACGGCATAAGATTTATCTGTCTCCTACATTTTCTGCCAATTTTTTCTTATTTTTCCTATCAAAACTGCTGCTATGGTTTTGAATAATTGATTGATGCAATCTTGATTATTATAACATACAGCCCAGGTATCAATGAAACAGACAAAAACAAGATCTATTTTACCTTGACTCTAGTTCAATATGGTATCCTGGAAAAAGTGAAATTGCAGACAAGAAAGCATCAAGTGTGTTGAACCCACCTCGAATTTTGCCAATGTGAAACAAGCAAGCATCTTTTCAATATTTAGGAAATATTTTTATGTCTCCTCTGTGCCAAGTGTGTATCACTGTGGAAAATCAAAAACTAAACAGAGACATTCCTCACCAAATTCCCAGTATATACTTACATTAGGACAGACAAAGACAGATCCTTTTACAACAAAAGGAAAATGTTACTTCAGGAAGTAGGATACCTTTCTTTAATA